TTCCACATCTCCCAATTCCCACGTTCTCAAGTTATTAAATCTCTGAATTTCCAAGCCCCCAAATTCTCAAATCCCCAAATTTCCACATCTCTAAATTTTCAATTCCCCAATTCCCAAATTTCGAAATTTCCACATATCCCAATTCCCACATCTTCAATTCCAACCTAAATTCGACTTCTTATTTATTTAAACATCGTAACTCTTTCTCCACAGACCACAGAGTAATCACACAGAAATATTGAAGTATCAATTGTTTTTCCTCAACGCTATCAAAGTTGTCATTAACTAAGAAAGATAACGACCACTTCCAAAAGTAGATATCTAGAGGTCATTGGAGCAACCCTGATTTCTCCGTAACGTGTACTCTTGTCAACATAAACTGCACTGTTTATGTGCATATCCAAGAAAACTATGCGATAACATTATATAATTTACAGACATTTAACGAGCAAAATAAAAAGAATCTTATTTTTATCTCTTCAGAGTTTACATAATGGGTGACTGCTAGGAATTATGCTTCAAAATAATAGCTTACGAAGTCTGACAAATACAGTAATTATCGAATAAAATCTTTAAAAATACCGTGAAGCAATGGAGGCCACTGTCCTCAAGTTTCCTGTTTTCGTCATGTTACAAGCCAGATCACATGCAAATCGAGGTATCTGGATGCAGATCTCGAAACGGAGAGAATGCATAATCGCTTTTATTTGTCGATGAGTCAAACGTACTGTTGGCAACTCATGAGTTGGCGACTCAAAGTGAAGGATTCGGAGATTGATGTGGAGATGTAGAAATTTATGTAGGAATTGTAGGATAGAGAGGTTTGTGAATGTAGGAGTGTTTGAATTTGGAAAATTGTAGTTCTTTGGTTAGACGTTAGCGTTCGTGGTTTATGTAGTTATGTATAGGTTATGTAACTATGGAATACGACACGGGACAATCGCGATTCTTAGAACATATTTGCATCGTGTTTAATCGTTTTTGTAACACGTCGGTACTGCGAAATCGTAATAACATTCTAGACATAAACCATTTATAGCCGCATTATCCTTTTAATTCAGTGATGAACGAATCACAGTCTTTTCAAGTTTCCAAATTTCCACATCTTCCAATTTCCACGTTCTCAAATTATTAAATTTCTGAATTTCCAAGCCCCCAAATTCTCAAATTTCCAAATTTCTACAGCTCCAAATTTTCAAGTCCTCAATTCACAAATTTCGAAATTTTGACATATCCCAATTCCCAGGTTTTCAAATTTGCACATCCCCAAATTCTGAATTCCCCAAATTCTGAAACCCTCAAATTCTCAAACTCTCAGATTCTCAAACCCCCAAATTCTGAAACCCCCGAAATTCTCAAACTCTCAGATTCTCAAACCCCCAAATTCTGAAACCCTCAAATTCTCAAACCTCCAAATTCTCAAACCCCCAAATTTTCAAACCCCCGAAATTCTCAAACCCTCAAATTCTCAAACCCCCAAATTCTTAAATTTCCAAATTCTCAAACCCCCAAATTACCAATTCCCCAAACGTTAAAACTCTTAAACTTTAAAATCCCCAAATTCTCAGACCCCCAAATTCCCAAACCCCCAAATTCTCAAACCCCCAAATTCTCAAATTCCCAAATTCTCAAACCCCCAAATTACCAAATCCTCAAACGTTAAAACTCTTAAACTTTAAAATACCCAAATTCTCAAACCCCTAAATTCTGAAATTCCCAAATTCTCAAACCCCCAAATTAGCAAATCCCCAAACGTTAAAACTCTTAAACTTTAAAATTCCCAAATTGCCAAAACCGCATACTTGCAAACACTGAAACCCTAAACTGAAACGCCAGCGTTAACAGAACACCCAATATATGAACGCCTCACTGTTGACACGTTCCTGCGGTCGGCAGCTGAAGGCTAAGCCCGAAAAGTTTCTGAGAACTTCGTTTGTTGTCTATTGAAAAATTAGATACGAGAAAGGTCGACGAGCGAGCAGTAATCGTCTTTTCTTGGAACATTGAATAATTTGTCCGTCGCGTGTTGAAGACGTAACAAGATAACCGTGAGCTCACAGAAGTCTCTCGACTTATCTAGAATGTTTATTAACTTTACTTCCAATGTTATCTCGCATATATAACTACGCTATATCATACAAACCATACAAGCTTCGAATCAACCCCTCGTGACTTATCAGGTGCGTCACAGCTACAATACTCCCTCAGCTCAGAATTTTCAGAGCGGTACGGCAATATAACGGGAGTGTGTCGCAGATCTTTCGGGCTTCGGACTTTGTAACAGCGAATAACAACTGTGGACAGCAACTGTTTTCTAAAAGTCGAAGACACTTCTTTCAGGAATCCCTCGCACGTGATTTCGATATAAGGCTTCTGGCATGACGTGATGAATAATTTTGCGCTAACTTATTGCAACGATGGAATCGCAACCTTTCACTGAGGTTATCGCACCGACGTATAGAACTCTGCAGAAATTCCTCGCTACTCTAGCTTCATCTGTGAGGTCAAAAAATTCGTTTTCTAAATTCTTAACCCACAATTTTCTCGACAGTTGCGCCATTCAGAGTCACCTAATTATTGCTACAACTTTGGTACAGTTGAAGAAAGTTAACATATTAAGCATATTTTGTCTTCAGCTATACTTGATTACACAAATTCTAATTAGAATTGTACCTACCATTCAATTGCAATTAAATTACGGGCCTAATTTATCATATTCGACAGTGGTTTGCTTCATGAGTGCATCAAGGGTGCGTCATGAGTGCGTCACGAGTGTGTCACGTTATTACAGGACAAGGAATTAAAATAACTCGATGCTGAATATATATTTATTGCATTCGAACTGCAATGTGTGTCATTAGTGCGTCATGAGTGCGTCATGAGTGTGTCACGAGTGCGTCATGAGTGCGTCACGAGTCTGTCATGTTATTACAAGAAAAGGAAATAAAATAACTCGATGCTGAATATATATTTATTGCATTCGAACCGCAATGTGTGTCATGAGAGGTTCATGAGTGCGTCATGAGTGCGTCACGAGTCTGTCATGTTATTACAAGAAAAGGAAATAAAATAACTCGATGCTGAATATATATTTATTGCATTCGAACTGCAATGTGTGTCATGAGAGGTTCATGAGTGCGTCATGAGTGCGTCACGAGTCTGTCATGTTATTACAAGAAAAGGAAATAAAATAACTCGATGCTGAATATATATTTACTGCATTCGAACCGCAATGTATTATGAGAGGTTCACGAGTGCGTCATGAGTGCGTCATCAGTGCGTCACGAGTCTGTCATGTTATTGCAAGAAAAGGAAATAAAATAACTTGATGCTGAATACATATTTATTGCATTCGAACTGCAATGTGTGTCATGAGAGGTTCATGGGTGCGTCACGAGTGCGTCACGTTATCAGAGGAAAAATGCTTAAAAATAACTCGATGCGAAATGCATATTCCGTCCTAAATATCGTACCCAGCATAACCAGAGAAATTTGTAAATTTATTTAAAACAATTCCATTCGAAAGTAAGCTGCGTCTCAAGGTTTGTTTTGACGCTGTACGGCGTCGGATCGAGCGTGATAATTCGACTTCCTTCGCGTTAATCGCGAATGCGACCTACATGTACAATCAGCATGATCTCATCTCGGAACGTGTGGAACGATCCTTCGCAATTACCGTCGTAACTCAGTCCGTGTATTTGCTAATTCGCGTGTCGAATGTCCTTGGAAAGTTATCGGAGACCAACCAACCTGTGCGACTATTTTTCCTTGTTTCCTAAACACTTTGATTTTACCTGAGCGAGGATAACGCGGTGCTTAGATTTTGTGATTGGGCTTTATGGGCAGGGGATGTGAGAGAGAATGTGTGATGTGTGGTACGGAGTGGTACGTGGAAGTTTGGGTTGCATTTTGAAATTTTGGGAATTTGGGGAATTGGGAATTTGGGGAATTGGGTATTTGGAGAAATGGGAATTTGGGGAATTGGGTATTTGGGGAAATGGGAATTTGGGAAAATGGGAATTTGGGGAAATGGGAATTTGGGGAATTGGAAATTTGGAGAAATGGGAATTTGGAGAATTTGGAATTTGGGGAATTGGAAATTTGGAGAAATGGGAATTTAGGGAATTGGAAATTTGGAGAAATGGGAATTTGGGGAATTGGAAATTTGGAGAAATGGAAATTTGGGGAATTGGAAATTTGGGGAAATGGGAATTTGGGGAATTGGGAATTTGGGGAATTGGGAATTTGGGGAATTGGGAATTTGTGGAATTGGAAATTTGGAGAAANGAATTGGAAATTTGGAGAAATGGAAATTTGGGGAATTGGAAATTTGGGGAAATGGGAATTTGGGGAATTGGAAATTTGGAGAAATGGAAATTTGGGGAATTGGAAATTTGGGGAAATGGGAATTTGGGGAATTGGGAATTTGGGGAATTGGAAATTTGGAGAAATGGGAATTTGAAAGAGAAATGGGAATTTGGAGAAATGGAAATTTGAGGAATTGGAAATTTGGAGAAATAGAAATTTGGGGAATTGGAAATTTAGAGAAATGGGAATTTGGAGAAATGGAAATTTGAGGAATTGGAAATTTGGAGAAATAGAAATTTGGGGAATTGGAAATTTAGAGAAATGGGAATTTGGAGAAATGGAAATTTGAGGAATTGGAAATTTGGAGAAATAGAAATTTGGGGAATTGGAAATTTAGAGAAATGGGAATTTGGTGAATTGGAAATTTGGAGAAATGGGAATCCAAAAGTCCAAAATTCCTCTTCCCCTCTTCAGAATACTAATTTTCCTCATCCACTACGTTTCACCTAATCAAAACCAAATATCCCAACGAGTACATGCCTCCATTTGCAAGATCCATTTCTTTCCCTTATTCTGACCTGTAGATAAAGTCACGTGATGCATTTATGTACATTTCATGAATCACTCTGTATGCGTAACTCGTATGGCAGATCGGAGAAACTGTTCTGAAAGATCACGTATCTGACGTACGATCCAGTATCCCCACCATTTTGTTGTCGGTCAGGCCAAGGTATCAAAGTCCCTGGTGAAGAAATCGCTTCGGACAGTCTGCTTCTTCCTCGCAAAAAGGTAAGACGTTCCTTCTTGTTTTCGAATGTTACTGGAGAAAACGTCAGGCTGACCTTGGACGTTGCTTCAAACACCATAAATATACATTTTAATTCTTCGTGGCTTTTGAGAGTGACAAGGTTTACTGAAATATTTTATATAATTTTGTAGAATGTTGTTGTTATCGGTGTTTGTTGACGATTATTTATAGATACAATATGTTAGTACTATGTTAATAATATGTTACTTTTAATACGTGTTTTTTGGAGAAGAGTAATACGAGTTTTTCGAGGCAGAGCTTATGACTTTTGAAATTAAATTGAAATTGGTAGCTGGACTTCATGGTTCCTGGTGTTTTATTAAATGGGGCGGTGTTTCATTAAAATTTATTCATTATTATTGTTATAAGTATAGTAGTTCAATTTTTATTGCAATTTTCGTGAATGTCCTAATGGAATTTTAGTTTGTTTTCATTCTCAAGGCGATTTAGAATGTTTACACCTAATCTCCTACTCTTATACTTGCTTTTATGAACACTACATGTAGTTTGATAGGTTGTCGAGTAATCAAATAAAAATGTGACGTGTCATATAGATACATGTTCAGTTTCTATATCTGCTGTGTGTGCGTGTGTTTCAGAGCCAGTCTGCGAAAATGAAGGTGTTACTTTTCGCCGCCATCGCGGTATTCTGCGTTCAGGCCGTTCTGAGCGTCGATCTTCACGAGCACAACAAGGTTGTGTGCTACTGGAACAGCACAGCCTTTGAACGACAAGGTAAAATTCCTCTTAATATTAACGATTATGCAATTCGAAATACAACTTTCATTCCATTCCCATTCACCATTTATTAATCCAAGCTTAATAAGTCAATCATTATTTTAGGGCCAGGCAAGTTCCAGCTGGATGATGTTCGCCCAGCGCTATCCCTCTGCACCCACCTGATCTACGGATTCGCTGGCATTAAATCCGAGACGTACGAGGTTGTTCCGCTGAATCCGAACCTGGACACCGGAGCTGGGTACTCGTACTACAAGCTCGCTACTCAGTTGAAGAAATCGTTTCCAGAGCTGAAGGTGTACCTCAGTATTGGTGGAAATGCTGATCCTGATGATGAGGTCCACAAGTATCTCGTTCTTGTGAGTATCTTTCAAAGCCCTAATACTGAAATTTTTAAATTTCCACATCCCCAAGTTTCCAATTCCCCAAATTCCTATTTCTCCAAATTTCCAATTCCCCGAATTCCTATTTCTCCAAATTTCCAATTCCCCAAATTCCTATTTCTCCAAATTTCCAATTCCCCAAATTCTCAATTTCCCAAATTCCCATTTCTCGAAATTTGCAATTCTCCAAATTTCCAATCCTCCAAATTCCCATTTTTCCAAATTTCCAATTCCCCAAATTCCCAATTCCCCAAATACTCAATTTCCCAAATTCCCATTTCTCCAAATTCCAT